TTTAAGGTGATGAAAGACCGGTAGAAGAAGAATTTTCCCACAATGATATGAGTTGAGCTGACGTTTTCATCAAATTTCACATAGCCTTGATGTCCCAAAAGTTGTTCTCATCGAGGTTGAACTGCAGTTTCATTAAAAATCCTTGAATGAACACGGAATGTATATATTTATAAGAATACGCGGAGAACCATAATTACATTATACTTTCTCCTCATTGTAGCATAATAAAATAGCCTCGGATCACTATAGAATCGAAAGTTATAAAATGGGAAAAATGTATATATGTAGTTTGCAAATAAGCTGTTTTTAAGCAATAAATTTAACAATCTCACTGCCTATATAGAACAGGAAATCAGATTTCTTTGCGAAAGAACAAGAAATTGGGTAATCTTTATCGAAGGAAGTCCTTAACCTGAAATGGTTGTGGAACAACCAGTCCCTTTGGATCGTGAGTTCTTTCTAGTGTTTAGAATATCCTCCAATTCACACAAATCTGCGGATCAAAAATAAACGTTAATCGTTATCAGCTGTCTCTGGATTCTACTTTTTATTTTGACTGGGTTAACCGACAGTTAATCTAATTCGCATGCACAGACAGAAGAAATGCACCATTTGTCGAGCTAAGACGCACAAAAACCAGTAAACTGAGAGGTCATTCGAATTGCCCGCAGAAAATTTTTCCTGCCTCAAAGATATTGCTTGTCCATTTATGCTTTTTTAATGATAACTTCAGTGGGATTCATTAAGAAAGTCTCGTCCGAAACAGATTAAATCTGACCATTGGGCAATTGATACTCTGCCTTAATCAAAACGGAACCAGATGAAAGGACTACGAAAATCTCCTCAATATACCAAAATAGGATTCAGGCTTAGATACATACTGAAGCAGAATAGATGTTCCAATTCTCTATCACAGCATGCTGCGAATTTAAAGTCTCTTTGAGCATGAGACGGACTCGAATATATTTAGGATGCAAACGATATTTACAGGATATAACGAAGCTGCCTTCATTTAAGATCTTCTGTCGAGGAATAAATTTGATTATTAAATTTGATTAACTGGGCCATGAAAAGGAAAAGCCATGTTTGCAAATAAATATTTTTTACTTGCTTGTTACCTGAATATGAAAGATGGGCAATGCAAATGTTTTGGCAAAATTTGTGAGGTGTACATCTTAGTCAATTCCCCCCCTTAGTCGTTACGTAAGTGATTGGCAATTTGGATCATGATGTGTTTTCCGTGAGCGCCATCGAAATTTTCACTGGGCCTATCGGAAAAGAACAAAGTGAGACTTGGTACATATAAGAGGCAGATATAGAAAAAAAGGAAGGAGCCACAAGCATCCTTTCAACAAGTCGTTCAACACCAAAATAAAAGTGTAACGATTGGTGCAGCGGTAAAGCTTACGACGAAACTCTAAACGGATGAACGAAAGTTAGTATATAACAAGAAGGGATTTGATAATAAATATGAGTTCCTTTCAGTCTAGATTGCACAAGGTGATAAAGGAATAATAGTTGAATTTTTCCCCAAATATAATAATAGGCCTCAAGTCTCCATTGAATTTCACGAAGACAAAATTGCCAGAAGGTGTTTTTATTTGGGATGGACTTCAGTTTCGGCACCGCCTGATTTGCACAAATACCTTTTCGTTGTGCATCACTGGAAAATTTACATCTTTCAACACATCTACTTAAAGTGTTGCACCCACATTTAGTCGTGGAAGCAACTATGCTAGTCGAAATGCTTAGTTTAATTGCAGATATGGGGTAGCATGCTCCGAAGTGACTGTTCCTTGGCAGGCTTATTATGGCAAAGATCGGGGTTACCAGGTGCTTGGTAAAAAGTTGTGTTATATTGTAGCTTCTGGAAGAGACTTGAAAATTTATGTAAGACGCGGAGTCATACTAAGGCATGTGATCGCGGTTATTGAAACTCAAATCTGAGTCTACCCTTACTGAAGCCCAGCCTTGTTAATGTTATTTCATCTTGTGTACGACTTCAGTGTCAAATGAAAAATGTAGGGTAATTGCGATGGAAGTATCTCTTATTTCCATTTCATCTCTCTCCCTTCATAGTCCGCCTCATTATGAATTATTTTCTTAAATAAACGCGTTTTATCCACGACGTCCTGTGCTAATGATGGTTCAAGAATAATTCCCAAAAAATGTCAAGTCCTATCCCAACTGTTGTCTGCACTCTGCTGGATGCATTAATCAGCAATTTGCTATATATCTATATGTTTTTATGTTTAATTAAAACTTGAGTACAAGTTGGATGTTCATGAGTGATGCTTACCAGACTGGTCTGCCCTTTCAATATTTTCTGCATGCCATGCATGTAACTAGCGCGACTCAAATTGTGAGGGTAAAACGTTAGTGGCAAATACGTCCCCATAGGGTTGCTAATACTAGTTGGGCGCAATCGGTATCGCAATACATTCAGCATAAAGGGCGCCATGAAATTCAATAAGTGCTAAACCTAAACTTAGATTATTTTGTATTGGATTAACTAACAATGTCAACGGCATTTGCTTTTATGCACTCTAAAACATATCTTGGGCCATTTCGTTAGCACTTCTGAAAAAGGTCACTGTCATAAGACATCATTTCAAAGAAAACCTAGATGGAAAGGATTTGTGAATTTGCCTTACCATACATCGAAGAAGGATTCCCTTGCCATTGTGACTGTTAAAACGACCGTGATGAGCTCTCGTCTAACCCTTTAAAATAGACATAGTCGTAGAATGTTAGTATTTTTTATGTGAACATCACCTGGAACTAAGCCAAGAATCCATATAAAGTAGACTTCGGAAAAGTATAAATACCTTTTGAAAAGCAAGGCTATTTGAAATTTAATGCAAATTGTATGATTGTGTGAAAATTTAACCAACAGACCCTCATCACGATAAGCAACTGAAACTCTCAAACTAAGAATTGTTAAAGTGGGATGACCTCGTTGTCGCAACTTGGTCTTGTTGTCAGAGCGACTTAGTAGAACGCACCTAGTCCGAAGTCGTCTGCCATAGTAGATGTCATGATTCCCAGCATCTGACAGTGGACTTGGTACATTCTCAAACGTTTAGCCGACATCGTAGTCGTCATCATCAATCAGTTTTGCCATTCTCCTAACCAAGCTACAAACTGGTCAAAAAGACAAGTGAAGTCAATCCCTCGACAGACGTTCTGCCGAAAACGGTTACACGGCGAAAAGAAAAAAGTATTAAATTTATCATCAATTCCTCTGAATCCTGATACGTTTAATACTTTCTTCCTATCGACGTGTAACCGTCTTCGGCAGAACGTTTGTTGGGGGGTTGACTTCACCTGTCACTTTGACGAGTTCGTAGCCTGGTGCGGAGAATGGCAAAGTTTATTGGTGATGTGGACTATGAGGCCGGAGAAACGTTTGAGAATGTACCAAGTCCATTGTCTGATGCTGGGAATGATGACAACTACTATGCCAGACGACTTCGGACTAGGTCACCCTGACAACAAGACAAGGTTGCGACAGCGAGGTCAACCCACTTTTATAAATTGAAAAGAGACTGCGACCATACCAGAGACTACAACATCTTGGTCCTCATATTTTGAATTAAAAATTGTCGGTTCATTGCTGACAATTATTAGTTTAGAGTTTGTGCAGTTTTCTTTCAGAATGCTTTCATGTTCTCAAGATGTTTGTGTCTAAACAACAGACGAAAGCTTTTCTTCTATCAAAGTTTTCTTCCCTAGACTGCAGTGCGGCTTCTCTCCTTCCTGCTTCTTGCCGGCACGCCGTTGGGCCCCAAACAGCTTTTGCTCAATCAGTGACATCACACAATGGCCACTTGGCCGTATGGACTGAACAAGGGCACATGCTACCTTCAGGGCGAGCCAGGCCGCTCCGGAGTCAAGGGAAGCCTCGAGGTCATAAAGATGGGATTCCGTTTGATGGCGTGGCCGAACAAGGGCAGACGACAAGGTGCCGTCAGCATCAAGAAAAACACTGTGTTATGGATGGTCTAATTCGATCCAGTCATCCGGGCCAACATCGCCCACCGGGATTGAGTGAAGAGGTCAAATCAGCATCGAGGCAATATCGGCCCTACACGTTCACATGGTATGCATAAAGATGAGGATGCCTTTTCTCGCTTTCAGTCAAACTTACACGTCTGGGCGTGTGCAGAATTTGGCTGACTAGTATTTATTCTATACTGGCCGAATCGTTTATTTGCTGGACAGGCGGCTTATCCAGGCCAATTTAGCCAATCCAGACTTTGGTTGTCCAGTCTGAGTGAGTCACCAGACTAGGTGAAAATGCGGAAATGATACAATGTGAAATAGGACAGAATGATGCCCTCAATCAATCTGTTGTGGAGATACAGAAATGAGGGCTTTGCGAGCAAGTAGCCCAAAATAAAGCAAAATTTGTAGGTTTTCGAGATTATAAGTAAAGCTTGAATAAGTGCTCCACAAGGTCTCCTAAAGTGGCGAGGACTAATAGTCGAATTCTCACACAATTGAGGAGGCCTCATGATTACAATTGCTCGTATCCTATATTCCACAAAGGCTTTCATCTCCAGAAAAATGTGGACTACTATTTCGATATGTATGATTCTCGTCAGGTCCACGGTATGACTCTAATCCGGGTAGCGGAGCCTATAGGCCTCCCTTGAATTTTACTTCTACCCCTTGACCCTAGGGCACCACGAGGGGATGTGATAAGGCCTAGTCAATCATTTTAAATGAACTAGTGTGAATACAGGTCCTATTTAGGATATATTGGTGGCCTCGAAAATTTACTTAGGAACGAAAATTTATATTTTGCCAAGGCTATTGGCTACTTATTTAGCTTTCTTCCATTTCCAGTAAAAGTGTTCGGTGAAGAGATTTGAAAGTTGATCCCACCAGAAGACGACGACAGATTCCTCTCTATCAGCTGTGGATTGGCTTCACTGGAGCACTCCTGTTGACACTGTTTCAGAGGCAATCGCCTCCGATTCCGGTAAATAAGTGTTAGGCTTTCGTCCTTCATATGACCGGAATCGAAGGAGATTGCCTCGGAAACAGCGGAAACAAGAGTGTTCCAGTGAAGCCAATCTACAGCTGATCTAGATGAAATCCACCGTCGTCTTCTCGTGGAATCAACCTTCACATCGCTTCACCAAACGCTTTCACTCAAAATCGAAATAAACTAAACAATTTAGAAAAGAAAGATTCCTCAAAGCCTAAGTTTTCTTCGGATAATCGACTATTTTGCTTATAGTCAAACAAAGTGAATCATCGAGACCATCAGTAGATTTTGAATAAACACAAATCGGCTGCCAATTTGGCAGGAAACAGTGTGAATTTGGAAAAAGGTTTGGAATGAACATGCAAAATACTTCTAATTTCCTCAGCCTCCTGTTTGACGCAGATAATAGTAGAAAATCCACTCTTAGGATTGGGCTCCCGGACATCCGGCCCTAGATTTGAGAGCAGACACTTCATTGTATTATGCCCCTCAGAGTCAAGGAGTGAGCAAAGGGCATGAGGATGTTGCATGTGAAAGCCATAAACGTGTTTGTTAACCATCTCAAGTTTCGCATAATCCGTTGAAATGTATTCAACTTTCAAGAGCCTTTCAAAAAGTCATGGCATGCCGTATAACGAAAGGCTGAACTTTGACGACAATGCTCCTGTATAGTTTTCTTGATAATTGGGAGTCAATTATTATCATGGAGCGAAAGAACAATCGTGAAGATTAACGAACACCGGATACCTATACTTTGAGTTACATTGGAGGCAACGCCAACATGTGCATTGTTTAAAGAGTTAGTTCATATACTTGAAGACCAAGATGATATGACCCGTATTTTGTTCGCTATCTTCCTCCGCTTTATAAAGTTCGTTCAACCTCGTTTTCGCAATATATTCATGTTTCCACAGTTTCCTTTAAGAATATAGCTCCCTGTTGCGTTCTCTACGATTGTGTCTTCGTTCATCTATGAACCAGTGGCCGGGCCCACTCCAGAACTTTTTACCAGCATCCTTATCAATAACACAGTGAAAAGCGTCATGCTTAGCAGAGAAGACCGTGATGGAAGTCATGACGAAATTGAAAGAGGACTCAGTATAGAGTGTTAATCGAAGTCTCCATGAAAACACGTCTAAGGTGAGAAACCTGAATTAAGCCAGCTCTATATAAGAAATATTTGCTCTAATCAGTTTGAAAGCATGTATCCTATTAAATCGTCATATCCAAAAATAAACATTGTAACTGTATGCTACATACACAAATTTTGACTACAAGTAACATTCGGGATAGAACTATAATAAGGCTGACTAATTAATCGCATCGCGCTCAACATTTGAGCCACATTTTGTTCACCAGTTGCATTCTTTATGGTGGCAAAATTGATATAATGACAAACAATTACTTCGAAATTAGCTATATTCTAGATACAAAACTAGTGTTTGGTTCTATTGAATCTCCTGGAGTTCATCTAATTATAGAGCGACATAAGGTCATTTATTTCAACCCTCTTTGGAATACATATTTTCGTAAACTAACCATTCAGAGCTTGAATCGAAAAAGTTCAGTGTCGACGCTCACTCTTTGGCTGCAATTACAGGGCCTGCCATGCCGGAAACGCTAAATAAAACAAAGTTCGACGATTTTTTGAACAATCAATCCCGAAGCCTTGATATGATTCCTTTATAAATTCGAGGTATGAAGATGTGAGCATATAAAAAGGTTTCATGATCACTGCAATCTCGATGCTATGTAATGATCAACTTAAACCTCGGAAAATTGTGCTGGCAGTACGCCTGGCAATGTCTAGCTTTCGTAGAATTATTCGCCTTTTCTCCCATTTAGGCTTTACTCGCCTCTTAAATGAAGACGTCGACACACTAATTCACTGCAGTTAATAGGGTATCTAACTGGCCTCCAATAATTTAGACTACATGGATTTCACACTTGGATTCCACCGCTTAGCTGGCTTAGGCCTTAAGTTGCATTGGCACTTCGAGATGCGGCCTTGACAACACAATCTATAGACTTTAGAGTAGCCGTTGAAATGTCAGCTAATGGAAGTAATTTTGATAGGTTTAACCACATTTTTACTGAATGGGTCCGCATCGAATCTTTATTTCAAGTCTTCTGCATATTTCGGGT